GTCCACCGGCAAGGCAAAGCCACTGGTGCTCATTGGACTGTGCAAACAGCAGATCTGCTGAGTCTGACAGGCCTGAGAGCAGAGGAGCCCGGGCACATTGCATTATCCCAATCAGACAAGAAGCAAGGGATAATGAGTGAAAGGTTGTAACAAGCTTGCAACAACACGCTCATTCAAAGCCAAGATTAAGTCAAGAGAGCTCTAGTGACAGAACAAGCTTTTGTTATTGTGATCAGGGAAATTTTCTGTGATGGTCCATCCACAATCCATTGTATCACTTAGAGCTGTAAATGCTAGAAAAGACGTTTATAGAACATGTTGCCTTCACATTGGAAGGACAAAGTGTTCCGTGCTACGAGGTGGGGTGAAGAGCTGGCCATCGGATTACAGATCGTCAGTTTAAGGAAGTTATAGAACAAATCCGACCTCGGAAATGTCTGGGGGGGAGGGGCTAACTGAAACTATTCAACAGTCCGACAAGCAGTTTGATTGGCGTCTTTACCATGGTGATGGGGAAAGAAACTAGAAACAACAAGGGAGCAGAATTGTGAGAACATACAAAACTTGATCCTTCAAAAAATACTTGACTTCATAGTTCAAGGTTCAATAGCAAAATCCAAATTGTGTTTGTAAAAAGAAAAATCTGTTCCATTGCGATGCTGACATCTCGACTCTCTGCAACAGGCCGCTAATAACCATGACATGGTGACATCATGAGAAAGTTGTCCCCCCCGTTGACAAGGCCGACTGTTGCCATGGGCTCCTGGAAATGGCACTGCAGATCCCAGTAAATGAAGGCTGTTGGGGGCGGGGACGTGAAGGCAAGTAAATAAAAGTGCCCATTTGCAGTGTGTTTGCTTGATGTCCTCGGAGCCAAGTCCTGCTCCGTTATTAGGCCGCCGTGCATTGGGGGGGCTCCCAGTAGCTCTGTGCAGCAGGACCCCCCACTCTGGAGGACATTGGCGTGTTTGCTGAGCGAACAGGGCACCCCGACGCGGCCTCTGGGAGCCATGTGAGCTGACAGCGGCCGCGCACATTCACTCATTTAGAAAAGAGGACGACTGGGGACAAAAGGAAGAAGGAGACAGTCTTGTAGCGGCAGACTGCAGCAGCAAATCACCATTCACAAACTGAAATAATTAGTCATAATACAGACATCAGCCAAGAAAGAGGCATTTACATGATAAAAGCTTTGCAGTGTGGAGCTTTCTATCACATGCATGGGTACTAGTTTCATCAACAGACTATTGCTACTGTATGTTTGTAACTTGGATGTGATCCCATGAGTCTCTGCCAAAATAAAGCAACCCTGATCTCCACACCATCCAATGAAGACAGTGCCTGGTCTACTTCATGCACACTACCCATTACTCTGTCGGAGCACACAACTCCCAGACTCCCTTTGATACCCGATATTTAGACATGTAGGCCCATGCTGTGACCCCGCAATCACTTTCTGCTAGAGACACCCAACACCAGAGTCCTTAATCCTGCCGCATTGCTTCGGTGGGAGAGGCGGGGCTAAGGAGGCGACTGCGAGGTATTTCATGACTGGGAAACTCATGACCCACTGGGGATTAATGAGCATTCTGTGGGGGGCTTTATTGGCTTGCTGACCCTCGCTTTCTGATATGTTCACCTCTATCTGGCTTGAATTGGAAATTACATACATGGAGTTGTACTTTTATATTTATTGTTATCAAAAGATAAATCTTCTTTAGATCATTTTAGGTACTTAAATACGGGAAGGCCTATTTCAGACACAGCAATGGGTTTTTAGTGGCTGTAAGGAGGACATGTCGTCAGTCCATCACTTTGACTAAAATATCTCAGACCTTTGCATGGATTGGCTTTTAATATGATATAGATTTTCAACATCACTAGGGGATAAATGTTAATGGCTCTGGTGCTCTGTCAGGTCATAATTTTAATTTGCCCAATACTTTGTTGATTATCAGATAGGCATTCCTGCAAAACTGATGTTCCCTTCAATCCCAGCTGGACTCTGTGTCAGTGCTAATTATCAAATGTTTGCAGGCTGACAGGCTAAACTGAGATGTGAAAATGGTAAATATTACCTGCAAAACATCTGCATGTTAGCATTGTTCTGTGAGCATGTCAGCATCCTAATGTTAGCATTTAGCTTAAAGCACGTGTGTGCCTAAGCCTACACAGAGCTGCTAACATGCTGTAGACTCTTGGTATTGTTGTTTGTTTTGTCAATAGAAACTTTCTATTGACAAAAAAACAACAATATTAGAAGGAGAGCGTATGTTTCTTCCTAGGGTCCTGTGTTCCCCAGCTTAATATGACACATTATCAAGACCTTTCAAAGGGTTTTATGTTCTCAACAATATATGTTGCTCTAGGCTCTAGGTCAAAAGTTGAAATCACCTATACCAACAGCTTATAGCGTACTGATTTTTTATTTTTTACCTTTTAAACTGCAATTGAATCATTCGGCTCCCTTCCTTTGTTTGAAATCACAATATATCAAGAGCATGACCCTGGGATGACCCCTATAAAAGTGCCTGTCTTTCTCTCTGTGTGTAACTGGACTTATTTAACCTGGGACAATTTAAATAAATCAGAAATCATCGTACAATTTTAGTCTCCCATGGTCTCCCTAACATCTGACAAACAAACACAAGGCTGAAAACAATCCTAAATCAAAGTTGTTAAAAACAAGTAACATCATAAGAAAAGGAGTAGTATTGCACATTATTATTTTGGTGATTATTGAGATTTTAAACCTGAAATGTGAGCATGTGAGGGCTGCTTCACAGAAGTGTCAGGGCAGCATTGAGTCAGATCGGAGGTGTTAGGACCGCAGCTGCAGAGTCAGTTGTGGCTCAGTGTGGGTGGCGGCTATCTCGCTTGCTGGGGCGCTGTGTTTATCTGTGCTGGGGTTGGGGCCACGCGCACAGTGCAGGCATACACACCAACACACACACACACACACACACAAAACAGAGACTCTATTGATTACAGCTAATCAAGGCAGCGGCACTGAGGGAAGCCGTGCACGCGTGTGTGAAGTCAACACATTCCCCACATTCCACCACTTCCCAAAGAGGCAAAAAATATTCGCCACTACACTGAGCTCGCAGGCCTCTTCTCACTGCTGGGGACCTCCTGCTGTTCAACTTGACTGCTCTTCTTTCTGCTAAGTCACTGTGCACTTTGCCATTGGCTGTAGTTTTCAACAGAACTTTTTTTATTCCGCCCACGAGATGACCACGCAGTGACTTCTGGCTGAATCACACTAACAGCACAAAGGCTCCTCGTATTCACGCCTGGTTTAAACTGGTCCTCCTTAGCTATCACAAAGAAATCTGACCTCGCCCATAAAGTTGTTACCAATTGCGTGTGCATTTGTAACAGGTTAGTCAGATTAATTGAACGAGCTACACCCAGTGACACTATGACCAGATCCTTTTTCTTTTCACTCTAGGCCTGCTTATGAAGTAAGTCAAACCCAGAAAGAGAGTAGCTCTTAGCCAATAGCTATTCGATAACAGTGAAACATTTCTATCAGTTTCCATATAATCACAAATCTAAGAAGCTGGAACTGATGTTTGTTAATTTTGAAGATAAATGCTGCCTCTGTTGCATGCAGTTGGGGGTGGAAAGAGTTTATATGCACTGGATTACAGCGCACATTAACACTTTGGACAGTGAAGCAGATATTGATTATGTTGCAGTGAAAACAGCCGACCACTTTGTGTATCTGAGGAAGGAGAGAGGGAAGAACCAGCAAAGAACACACCAGCCAAGTTATGCCCACTGACCCTCCTCTCCTTCTTCCTCCTCCTTTTCGTCTTAAAGCCGGAGCAAGAAGGTTCACAGTAAGGCATAGTTACCATAGAAACTCTGTTTGCATTTCCCAGTGAGCAATTCAGGGACCGCTGGCTTTCAGCTGGAATTCAGACATTCAATTCACGTCATAGTGCTGTCTGGAGAAGCAATTGTCTATGCGGGGCAACTTATTGAAAGACATTCTAGGTGCGTTTCCGTTTTAAGAGAAAAGGCGGACAAAAAGGGCCTTGGCCATGAAGTGGATGTCTTCTCGACAGGCCTGGCTCACAGGTTGCATCTGGTGGGGCAGCACAGCTAAGAGCTCCAATAACCTCCTCGGCTCGTGATTTGTTCCTCATGTTTGATTTGAGGTGATGAAAATGAAAAGCTTTCATTTAAACAGGGAGCCCGAGCCTGGACTGCACATGCCAATCAAAATTTGGAGTGTGGTTGGAGAGTGCTGCTTTCTGCTGTGTGCCCAGGCATAGGGCTGTATTCAGGTCTGTCTTCGGTCCTCTCTCTCTCTCTCTCATACCAGGCTGCTGCGCTGGAACAAAGAGGCCTTTCACATTGACCTTGACACACGGCCACCCCCCCCATCACCACAGGAACCAACGCAGAGGAATCCACTCCAACTCTCCGATAGCAATCTCTGTATCCCTGGCAGACGGTCCCAGCTCTAGGCTGAGGTGAATCTCGGAGGAGGAGGCTAATGCACATCATGAGTGGCTTTATTCTAATGGAGAATAACCGTTAGCACTACTGAGAATATTTTCAGATCTTAAGTTACCCACCATGTCCAAATGTAAAATACTGTTGGTTTACAGCGTTTAAAATAAATATGATTAGGGCTAAAACTATTTCCGTGCAATAATCTGCCAGTTATATATCTAATTAATCGATTGTTTGGAAGTTTGAAGTTTCCCAGAGCCTGGAGATGTCCAGCCACCGGTCCAAAACCCCAGAAAATAAGGTTACTATGATATCAAACACAGAAAAGTATTTTTTTTTGTTTAAATCAATGAACTTTTTTCTTTACCCAATGCGGATTTTGTCAATTATTTATTTTGTAAACACCACAGACAGTAACACTCATCCAGGGAATAAAAGCTTTTATTCTCAATGGCAAAAAAGTTTTTGCTTTTTTTTTGGTCTGTTTTTCTACAATTGTACAGCCTGAAAAAACAAAACATGAATTCAGGCATTAAAATTGCGAATCGTTTTTTTTTTTAAACAAAATAAAAACAACAGGCTTTCACTTTATACATTTCTTTCATAAGTAATAACTTCAAAACTGTACATCAAGCTGTTTTTACAAAGCACGCCGAGCTTCAAAATATACAATGTCCATTCACATTTTATACAAAAGAAAAACCAAATGGGGGTTTGCTACATTTAAAAACTGGGAGTTACTCGTCTGCGAGAAAAGCAGTCCGAACACATTCCACGTTGCGTCACGTTGGACTTTGAGAGCCGAGTCCATCCAGCATGCTGCTTGGCAACATTCAGGAGCTCCGGTCTTTGTCTCCAAAAGAGTCACGAGACAGCAGGAGAAGAGAGAGAGAGAGTCTGCCACTGGAACAGTCCGTCAGCCTCTCTCTCTCTCCACAGCACGAACTCTATTTTCAGCTCTCCTCCCCACACAGCGAGGACTTGTCATTGTTCAAAGCGAGGGTAGGTAACGCACTCAGTCTGTGTCCACGTGACAGGGGTTGGTCCCCTGCTGCTGCGCCTCGCCGTACAACCGCAGGAAGTCTTTGTAGCGCGGGGCGCAACCCATCCAGGCCTCCCCAAACCTCACCGTCCCGGTGAAGAGGAACTCACCCTCCCCTGACCTCACCCCACACTGCAGGGGCATCTTGATGTGGCCAGTCCACCTCCGTACCCTCACCCCCCCAGACACAAAGACCTGGGTTTTCTGTCTGTAGAGGCGCTTGAGCTCCACGGTGACAGACGAGTGCTCCTCCTCCAACTCCACCTTCGTAATGCTGCCCCGTGCCACTGAAAAACACCAAGGACGACAGGATTTAGGTTCTGGTACCGGCCGTGTTTCATGCTAGACAGAGTCGTGTTGTTATTGGACATTTATGTACATACAGCAGCAGGACGCTTATAATTTCCCCCAAACAGCGTTTGGACTTACCGAAGTCATTGGTGCAGACGGCTAGAAGCATCTCGGCGTCGCTGCAGGGCTGACAGGGTGCTGAATGAAAACAGAGAGGGGAGGCGGATGAGTTTGGTAGAGCACGACAAACAGGAACAGGAAATGTCCACTATGTCTTTGGCACTCCCCAGTCTCGCTGCATGATAAAAATCTTCATTGGGTCCACAACGCTCCAGTTAAGTACCACTTTAACAAAACACACCACTGTGGGCCAGCCACGTAGGAATTGGGGAAACAGTCATTTATATTCCCCCCACAAATGATTATTTATATACAAAGATGGCAGAAAAAGATTTAGCTGTCATGAACGTTTAGTGTTGAATACTCATGGGGGCTGTTCGGTGAGCTTCCCCCGCCACTAGAGCCCATGACGCGCCATGACAAACAAGGACCAGATGAGAAGGGGTGAGGAGAGCACGGCCAACGAGGAAAGGCTTCATCTCTGACCCGAGCAATGTTAGCGCTTCAGCGGGCCTGCTGGGTCTGAAACAGTGAGCACTGTCTCAACCATAACATCCAAGTAGAGTTTTTTTTTTTTATAACAGCCTTAAAAGTGAAATCACTTCAGAGAGGAGGCCGATAAGAAGGGCAAAGCCTCCCCCACATCAACATATCTGGTTTTGAACAATAAAAGGGCAAGCCAAGAGAAGACATGCTCTCATGACTTAAGGGCAAATAATTGGGTCTAAAAAAGAAAAGAGAAATAGGCAGTACTTTAAAAGCCTGACCCCAGGCTACATTTTACTGGAGGCTGTAGAGCAGCAACACAGACTGCCCGCCTCCAGAGTGTTTTATAGCAGGAGAAAGGGCCCTAAATGAGAGCAGTCAAGTCGATGATTAGTTGACTCAGGTGGTCCTGCGGCCGGCCTTACCAGAACGCCTTTATTAGCCCGAGATCTGCTGTAGTTTTACTTTGCGGCAGATTGGCACACAGGGGCAGGTGGGGAGGAGGGGTGTGGGCCGAGGGGAGGGGTGTCGAGTCAGCAATGAGCCGAGGGGTTGGGCAGCAGTGGGTGTCCATCAATTCAAATTGGAGAAAGAACTCTTAAAAACTGTAAACTCGAGTGGATCTCCACAGATGCATAGTGTTATGAATCCTGATATGAGGACCATTACGCTGAATTAAGTCCCGAACCAGAGATGTCATCTTTAGCAGCTGGAGCTTATTTTTAGCTGGCCTGTCTGAAGCAGAGAGTTTAGGGTTGAGGGGTGAGCATGTCTCAGGTCAGCTTGTGAGGGATCAAAAAAGGTCAAACAGCCACAAGCTCGGACCGCTTAAGAACAGCTGGAGCGCCGGGAGACTTCAGAGCGGCCGACCTCGCCCAGAGCAGAGTGCAAAGGGCCCTTTGAAGTGAGCCTACATGCTGCTATAGCATTAGGCAGAGCGGCACAAAGCTGAGGCCTAAACCCAGGCATGTTTTTTTCTTCCCTCCGAAAGCAGAGCCGAGCGGGGCTCACATGTCAGACATGAAACAGAACCACAGGAATGGACTGAGAGCAGAGTCAGCATCTCTCTCTCTGGCCCATGCACATGCAGCAGCACTCTGAGCAGAACCACTTCACAGGAGCAGAGAGGGATGTGGGATGGGGCAAGTGGTAAAGGAGCACCATCCAGTGTCCCTGCAACATCTGGGCCATGGTGCATTCCACTGTAATGGAGCACAACTTCGCTAATACCACTCAGCACCGACAGCAAAAGTACTTCAAACAGCCAGGAGGAGCAGAGGGGAGAGGAATGAAAAAGAAAAATACTAGAATGATAAATAGATGAGAAAGGAGTTAAGGAGGTAGGAAATAGTGAGACAGAGAGGAGGAAAACTAATAATTTAAGTGGGAGTGACGAATAAGCCTATAGAAAGGTCCTCCCAACATCTGGTTGGAGACGCATTCCAGCTCGACGGTGAGCAACTCAATCCCAGCACAGCGGGTCACGGAGAAGAGGAGAGATGGAAGAGACATAAAAAAATAAAAGATGAGAAGAGGCAAAGCAGCAATCAATCCACCAGTCCAGGCTTCAGATGACACGAGACCGCTGTCTTTGTGAATCATCCGAGTGCTATCTCAGGCCACATCACACAACCAGATTATACTGCAAGCGGAACAGAGCACCCACGGTCCAAAGTCCACGCTCACTGCTCCCTGCATTTAACCCTCGCTGTGCCAGAGAATGACGCAGGATGTGGATATGTGAACCCAGAGAGCCCCTAAAAACAGATGTTGGCCCGATATTGCTCATATTTTGGCTTTAGGTGGAAAAAAAAAAAAAAAAAAAAAAAAAAAAAAAAAACACACTATTGCTCAGCTGGAAACTGCAGGTACTCAGCGTGAAAATAGACTGTTATTTTTCCAACGGAGGCCCCGTGTTTGGCTGTGCCTCTCCACACACGCGCACACCAAACTAAATCAAGCGTGGATGGTCGTGAAACAAGCTGAAATGTGAACGTCTAAATCCTTTAACAGAAAAAAGTTCCATAAAGACTCTGAAGTCTTGATAATCACAGCACGAGTTGGATTTTGACAAGAAATATATTTCCCCCCAAAAACCAAAAACGTACAGACAATGCTAGCAGAGGAATGGACTTTGGCTTCAGTATGAGCAGTCTGCTGGAGCGAATGTTCAGTTTCCTACTGTTAAGGTCCAACTGAATAAAAGTTTCCACCAGTAGATGGCTGCATTTAGTGCTCAGCACACACCACAGAGACAAAGCATAAAGGAAGCCAGACCTTGAGGGAATTAATCAAAGGCAAGTCTGCAGACCTTCATAATGGTTATCTACAGGTTGACCACTAATATTACACCATAATGGAGGTGTATCTTACCTCCCACTGAGTGTGCCTCTGGCCCCAGCCGGTCGCTGACCAGCTCGTACTGGAACGCCGTGATCCGGCGGCTGATGTCCGTGTGCGTGACGGCCTCGATGAAGAGAGCGCCCTCCTGGATGCCGAAGCACTGCACCTTGCCCCGAGCCTGGTCCCGATCGCGCAGCAGCAACCGCAGCTTGCCTCTGCGGTCCAGGTAGACGTTGGTGCCGCCGGATTCTGCAGAGGGCTTGATGCAGATGGAGAGGCGGGCGGCGGCGGGGGACGCCGTGTTGGGTCGGAGGTTGACGATGATGGCCCCCGTGGGATAGAGCCACTCCAGGGAGCCCTGGGAGCAACGCAGGTACACCTGCTCCACGTCCCGGGCGTGGCCTTCGTGAGTCAGACCACTAGGAAGGAAACGAAAAGAGGTCAGTGGACATCTACGACTCAAATCTTAAAGCGCCAGGCATTGTCAAGTGTAAAATCACAGAAAGCTTTCTTTGTGGAGTTTGTCAAACTCAACTTCAGTGTAAAGGGAGTTTTTGTTTAATAGTCAGAGTTATCTGACTAAGGTGAAGACCTCTGGCAGACTGTAAGGACACTAGACCACATTCCTCCTGAAGCATTATGGCTGTCGTCTGTGCGCAAGACTGGCTGCGTGACCAGTCACGAGCCGGAGCAGCCACAGTGACCTCAGCTCCAACACCCCCCCTTCTCCTATACCACATTGTTCTTCCTAGAGCTTTTGGCAAAATGCACCACTGGCAGGCTGCCTTTTGGGGAAGAGCTTGGAAGCAGAAAAAGGATGAATGGAGGGACACAGGGGCTTCTGGGCAGACAACGGCAGCAACAGTAGCCGGGCCCGCTGCATGCAAGTGCAAATGCAGGTCACGCACCGAGCCCTCCCCTTTGCTTTCAAGCCACCAAAGAGACTGGAAGAGACTTGCCCGGGCAGCACTTCGGACTCTGGCGCCAGCATGACCAAATGACTCCCTGCAGAACTTAATGCCTGGTCAGGGTTTGAAAAACTCGTCAGCCAGTCAGTCAGTGGCAAAGCCAGAGGCAGGAAGCCATCAGCAGTCCACCAGCATGCGCGTGCCAAGCCGGCGGTCTGACTCTGGGGGGAGAAACGCCCAGCTTCCTGAAAATGAGATGCTGAAATTCTAATTTGCCAGTAGATCTGAAAGTAACCCACGGCACATGCTGAGCATATGCAGCCCAAGCCCCCATAACCAGGCTCTCCCCTCAGCACGCCTCTAATTAACTACTTTCCAACTCCATCACTTCTGCATGCAATTAGAGGAGATTAGTCAAGAGAGGCTCACTAATGAGCAACAGATCACTGGTGCAGGGCTCAAAGTGCTGCACGTCACCTCCTGACTGGAGGATGAAAAACAAAACCACACCATCTGAGGCACAGCCTCTCAAGTGCAAAGCAGATGTTTGATGAGAGGTTAACATTTTCCAGTTTATGCTGCCTGAGGTTTTGGAAATTGGTTAAAACCCAAAATACTTAAAAGCTCTTGGGAGATCTGTGTAATCCATAGAGTATTTCAGTATTGTTTGAGGGGGATATTGACCCTTAGATTGAAGTTGGAGCAGATATATCAATGTATAATTCAGCACCATTTTTTAATACTCCCAAGTTCATTATAGAAAGCACTTTTTAAATTAGAGTCATATCTTGATTAAATAACGTCAGTCATTCATCAATTCAGCACCACCCAGACCAAAACTCACGTGTCCGTAAAACATCTATACAACTTTTAATATCCTTTCACATCGTATAATTACTTTTTGAACGTAGAGTACACATGTGTTACATATCTGTATTTAGTACTTTTCTCGTTAAACTCGGCCGCCTGATTTCACATCACCGGGCTCTGAGTTTCGGTCGCAGTCATTTTTTTTTTTTAGCTCGCTGCAGCTCAACATTCTTTCAGACTTCTTTACGTTTTCAGCAACATTGTCACATTGAGTGACCAGGGGACGGTAAAGCTCACCTGCCCTTCCAGCTGCACTGGTCGCTTGAATATTGGCAGAAAGAAATCCGACAGAGGAGCAGAAGAGGCAGCAGCAGGGAGGCCAGCATCGCGGTGAGCATGTTTTTAATCTCACTGCGCCTCTTCGTGAGCGAAACTGTGAAGAAGTCCACCGCCGTATCTCCAGCTACATGGCGTGTCCATGTGTCCCCGGTCCGTCCGTCCGGCCGCTGGTCCCCCGGGGTAGTCTGCTCTGATTCCCGGGAGGTTTCTGGTGAGTAAACGGCGCTTGTTTTCAGACTCGGTCCAGTTGCTGACGGTAAAAAGTGCGGAGATTGAAGCTCAACTTCGTCTCGAGCCCTGATTGCTCTTCTACGTCACACCCCATCCAACAGCGGTTTATCAAGGATGGTGCCTTCAAGTGCTAAACTGAGAGTCCGACCTCCAAGCTTCACAGTATAAACCTGTGGAGTGGGTTTAGCGTCTTAAAAAAAATAGGTTAATGTTGTTGTTTTTTTGTTTTACAAACATTAAATGACACCGGGGACATTTACAGGATTACAGCATACAGTATAGTGCAAGCAAGAGACATAGTAATAAAACTAAAACAAGATCAAAACAAGTATTATAAATAAGTAATTGAAAAAGTAAAAAATCCACAATAATTAAAAATATTGTATATACAGACAGAACAATTGTTGTATATACTTAAATAAATGTATATATGTGACAAACAAGTTTCAGATCAAACACAAAATATACTAAACAGATTATTAACCTAATTCTCCACAGAGTTTAGGAGAAAGATTTGTCGTTGTTGTTGCTTATTTGATTGTTTTTTGTTTGTATTCATAGCAGTTATTTACATACCAACTGCGTCAACTGTTAACAGTTTATTTGAGATACAAACACCTTCTTTGTGATTCAAGAATAATTACTTTTTTGTTGTGAACATTGAGTGTAGCCTATATTTATTTTGTGAGTAAGAAAAAAAAAAATATATATATATATATGAAAAAATAGGCCAATGTGCATTATTACATTTGTTGCGTTACATTTGATAAATTTGGTTTTGATAGAAAATATGGAAAGTTCCGATAGCACTTGAAGTAAGCATAAAAGTCAAGTATTTAGTTTGCAAAGGATTACAACAGCCCTACATGTCCGCCTTTTTGTATTTCGACAAAACTAAATGATGCCGTTTTCATTTTAAGAAAGCCAATCAGCACTATTCCTAAATGGATCGAGGCTACATGAAGTTGACCCTGTACGCAACTAAATCAGGGATTTTGCAGAATTGTCCTCCAAGAGCCTTCACACAATGTCTGTCCTGAAGTCAGTGAAGTCAGGCTAAATGGTTTGAGATGACAAGGAGGAAAAGTGAGAGCATCTGGTAACAAATGCTTTCAGCAGAGAAGTGACTGAATACAACTTGACTAAACCAGTTCATTATTGGTACGTGGATTGAATTTAGTTACTATCATGATAACAGCTGGCCTCCTGTTAAATTTAGGATCTGATTAAAACTTTCATGAACTATCGCCAGAATAAAGTCATATTATATTTAGCTGCAGCGTTACTGAAATCAAACTGTATTACTGCTCAGTTTTGCTGCAAGTTTTCAGCAATTGTACAGTATGTTGACATTTAAGGGCTGAAAATGGTATTTGTGTCTGAAAGAATACATTAGCAGCTATACCCTGACAACCACCATATATTTGTTCAGTTTTTAATTCAGTTATTTATTTGTAAAAGTTACAATAATAATAATAATAATGGTGGTTCTATGCCTAAATAGTTCATTCATATGATTGGGGATCTAGAAAACCACACCATGCATCCCAGCTCCACGGGGAAAGAGTCATTTCAGAAAATCAAATAAGAATAGTAATGCCTATTAATACTTTGACATTTGATTGATAACTTTATGACACAAAACTTGAAGACAAACACTCCCTTTATAGTTCAGCTCTGTTTCCAAGTGCAACAAGAGCTGCAGGGACTTGTAGCGGCGGGGTCCGTTAACCACTGAGTGCATCTGTAAACATAAATTAGTCATTACTCAAGTCGTGGATCTTTTCTTTTCAAGCAAGATGTTGTTTGGCATGGGAAAGAAACCTGTCTGACGAGGAAAACCAGAGCAGTTTCTAACTGCTACTTTTCCTCTCCGGTTTCTTAAGTTTATTTGGTTGTGGCTGGTTGGTGATCGATGTCTCTATACGACCAGACATGCAGGGTACATGTCCCAGCATGGGCCGCATGCCACCAAAGAGCCCCACAAACATCAGGTGCATAGTGCAGAACGGTGTTTAATTTGACAATAGATTCTCTCTCTTTAATAAAACTGCTGAAACTCTCAGCCGTCTTCCAGACTTCAAATCGAGCAACGTTGTCGTATCGTTTGTGTAATTTAGTCATTGTGTCAGTTTGTCTGGTTTCTGTAGTCCTTGCATTGCACGCTGTCTGGTATAAGACCTCTGGATGACGTAAAAAGAGCCACGAGGCGTGTCCGAACATGAAGCCTGAGGAGCCATCACAATGACACCTGCACTGTTAAACTGTTAAAGAGTTTCTCAATCATTTTATCATAGTTACACAATGTGTAGCTTTCTTGTTTTATTCTAAGATTAAAGGAGAACTCAAGTGGCATAACACACTTGAATACCAAACTGTTGAATGTCAAGTTGCATTGTGGGTAATGTAAGCTTTTTTTTGTTTGAGTTTAACAATGTTAAAGAAGTCCAAAAAGTATAGTATATATTAATATTGACAATGCATCATTTTAACAGCCAGTATACAATAAAACGACTTTACTTAACTATATTGTATAACGTGTGCAACAAATATTTCACTTTTTACCATCTTTGAGTATTTAACAAAGTATTTTAGCACTTAGTATGCACACTGACCGTTTTTGATGGACTCCAATGTCACAGCTAGAGCATAAACAATTAGTTGATCGACAGAAAAATAATCAGCAACAGTTTTGACAATCATTTAAGTCAATGCCAAACACTGAGGTTTGTTTTTGAACATTGGAAAAGGAATATTTGGGCTTTTGAAATGTCTGCCAGACAAAACAAGTCATTTGAAAACATCACCTTGGCCCAATTGTGATGAGCATTTTCACTATTTTTTTTGACATTTTATAGACTAAACGATTAATCGACAGACATAATTAAGAATGAGTCTTTCGTGAAAATAATCCGTTGTTGCAGACCTAATCCATGGTTACATGACTATATATTATACAACACATACTTAATCTCTTCCAAGAAGAGGGTGTTTCCAGTTGCTCGATCACTTGCTCTCAGTGTTTGTTATTGTCTTAAAGGAAGCAGGTTTAGCTCTCTCACCCTCCACCTGTCAGAAGTTTCACTGGTGGTGGGAGTGGAAAGTGGGAAACGAAGGCGGGAAAATAAACCGAATCGATGACAGATTAGCAGGAGACTGTGACAGTTAATCATACAGTGTGCTCCCGTTTTAGATTGAAACTTGGCAGAGAAACCATCATGTTCAACAGATAGAGAGTGAGGTCCAGATTTAATTAGAGTATTAGGTGGTAAATATGAGTTACGTCGGCCTGGGATAGTGGAGTTTATTGGGAGTCAAGGAGGGGGAGGCTGCTGAACTTTGAGGGGGAGGGGCAGGATTGTTTTTTTTTGTCAAGCCTGTTGTCACAAACTCTTGCTGAGTGTGACTCACTTTCATGCCCGGAGCTAGCCTCCAGGTGAAAAAGCAGTCATAAAGTAGATTAGGCTGCTGACAGGATGTGATGTTTATGTGTGTGTGTGTGTGTGTCCTCACGGTCCCCTCTTTCTTTGACTCTGTTTTTCTTTCTTTAATCCTTTCACTGTGGGAAAACAAGAAACTAAGCTTGTCAATAATTAAACAAGAGAACTGTTTTTTTCTTTTTTAAAACATCAGACCATGAACAAAACCCATTGTTTGCACTTTCTCCTCTGGGTTCTAAAAGGTCCAGTTTATTCACCCGTTTGGCCGACATCTTCGGTGTTGAGGGCTGAAAGCTTGTCTGGAGTTGATTTTTAACAACCTTCCCCTCGGAACCAGTGGGATGAACACCGAAACCGCACTGCTCTGTTACAGAGCCAGTCTCAACCTGTTTCTTTAAGTCTGCTATCTCGGACAGATAAACTGTAAAGTCACACAAGCATGTCCGATATCTTGTGGTATGCAAAGGCAGAGGCTGATATCATCGAGAGGCCGTCTGCCTGTCATCATCCCTCTCTGGCTGCTTTCCAGACTGTCAGACATGCAGCTGAGCTCAAACCTGCATGAACATTTCTCTTAGTAAACAGGAATTAGCCGTATCTGAAGAGAGACATGGTGGTTGTCTCTTCCAACACCTTGGAATTACTTTTTCTTGCTTAAACAACATGGTACCACACATTCCAGCTGTCAATCATCAGTCCTGGTTAGTGACGTTATTGCCAATAGTGAAGTCCATACCTCCATTGAGTGTAGAACATATGTGGGAGGAAGTGACATATTTGAAGTATGCAGCAACTGGCACATCGCACTCAAAATTCCCCGAAGTTTTTGCAAGCCAGGGAAGACAAAGCCTGTCTTTTGTTTCAGCCCTGTAATGGTGATGTATAGCTAAAGTGCTATAAGGGGGAGCAAAAAAAACATGTTGAAATACGGAGAAAAGAGAGGCCGATGAGGAGAAAGACAGAAAATGTCACGGTGGTGTTCCTTGGTGTTACTATTGTAAGCAATGTGAGGGGTGGCAGAGGAGATTAGCTGTTGCCAAGGCCTCCACACAGCGACATGCTCAAGTCCATGCTGAATTAGCCCTTGATGCCTTCAAGCTGTTTCCAACACCATGCTATCAGCTCCTTCATATCCCTCACTCAGCAGAAGAAACCTGAGGAACCACAGCGCTGGGTGCTCATAAGAGGAATTTGGGTCAGAGCTCATTTTGACAGGGCAGGTGGGCAACTCTTATGAAAGCAACATAATAAAAGTGAACCCAGCATGCGCTCTGCTTTCAAATTTCACAGAGATCAGATATGGATTAGGCCCGCAGATCCAGGTGGCTCAGAGGCTCCCGGGATTTGCCAATCAAACACAACTTTGCAAGGGAGGAGGAGGAAGACAGGGACCAGCACTGAAGTTATAATGTGGCTCACCAAGGAAAAGCAGTTCTGTGTCTTTACAGCAGCCTTTCTCCAGGATGACTTCCGCTCGACAGATTAGCCTCGCTGATGTGATTCTCATGGCTTCTTGTGGAGAAAGAGCTCACGGCCCTCTCTCTTTCTTTTTTTTTTCATGGCCCTGTGACATGAGAGCTTCCTTGATGTGTACACTCATTCTTCGATTCACTCGATCAGTCCAGGATGCTGTACACAAAAAGCCTCAGCCATTAGGCTCC